AAGAAAATGTGAGTATGGGCAAAACTGTTTATTGTTGTAAGAAAATATGAGTATGGACAAAACTACTTACTGTTGTAAGAAAATATGAGTATGGACAACACTGTTTATTGTTGTAAGAATACGTGGGACTGTTTATTTTTGAAAAAGTATGTGAAATTCACTAGACTGTTTAATGATGTAAAAGTATATAGGCCTGGACCAAACTTTTTATTGTTATAAGAGTCTTCAAGCCTGGACCAAACTGTTTAATGTTGTAAGAGTATGTAGGCCTTGTCCAGATTGGTTAATGTTGTAAGAATATGTAGACCTGGACCAGATTGTTTAATTTTATAAGAATATGTATGCCTGGACGAGACTGTTTAATATTATAAGTATGTATGCCTGGACCAGATTGTTTAATATTATAAGTATGTAGGCCTGGACCAGATTGTTTAATATTATAAGTATGTAGGCCTGGACCAGATTGTTTAAGGTTACAAGAGTATATTGACCTGGACAAGATTTGTTTAATGCTATAAGAGTATGTGGGTATGGACCAGACTTTTTCATGTTACAAGGGTATATAAGCTTGGACCAGACTGTTTAATGTTATAAACGTATGTAGGGCTGGTTGATTTCCCTTTTTTTATTTAACAGATGTAATGTACTCAATATCCTTGCATGTCCAAGTAGTAACTCTCCTTTTTCCAGAAAGTAATGCCGTCCGTCTCTGTACACAGAATTCCCTACTTCACATTCTTCAATTAGAATCTTAACCTAGTGGCAACTAACAGCAAGAAATAGTTTCAACAATAGTTCCACATTTTAAATATAGATATAATAACTATTTCTGGACATTTTTTAAATACATTTTATGTGCTGTACTAATGAGTGTAGTTCTTAATTATTTCTAATAGAATGACACCATGTGGTATGACACCGTGTAGTATGACACCATGTGGTATGTCACCATATGGTATGACACCATGTGGTATGTCACCGTGTGGTATGACACCATGTGGTATGTCACCGTGTTTTTAGTGTCCTTGAATGATTGTTCAGGTAATAGAGGTAAGTTTGTAGTGTCATTGAATGATTGTTCAGGTAATAGATGTAAGTTTGTAGTGGCCTTGAATGATTGTTCAGGTAATAGATGTAAGTTTGTAGTGTCCTTTGAATGATTGTTCAGGTAATAGAGGTAAGTTTGTAGTGTCCTTGAATGATTGTTCAGGTAATAGATGTAAGTTTGTAGTGTCCTTTAATGATTGTTCAGGTAATAGATGTAAGTTTGTAGTGTCCTTGAATGATTGTTCAGGTAATAGAAGTAAGTTTGTAGTGTCCTTGAATGATTGTTCAGGTAAGTCTGAAGTATATTCAGTTCACCTGAAAGTATATACCGAAGTCCTTGAGCAGAACCGCCACTGTCTCTGATGTTCATACAGTGCTGATGTACCGTTAGTTGTTATTTTATACAAGTGGTTCTCAAAGTGTGGTCCGCAGGCTAATCCAAAATGCAATTTACAGACTCGGAACGCCACGACGGAGGCCATACGTGAGAACATGTGGGGCAGGACCGATGGGTGGTCCTAGGGATCTTTTTTCCCGCCGAAGTCGTCCCGAACTAAAAAGTAAAAGTTTGAGAACTAATGTTTGCGCGAAATTTAAAAAACAAACAAACAAACAAATCGACCTTCTGCAGGGATAAAGAAACAGAATATCTAACTTGTTTCTCCATGAACGATATCTTAAAAACAGTCTTCTTAATTTTCTTGAAAATTATGTTACTCATAATGATTGGTGAGGCTTCAGATGTCATATGGATTTATATCAATAGGTTTATTTGTGATATGTCTGTAGCTGATACTTTTTTATTGTTTCGTGGCTGGATTTAGAAATATAGGAACCAAACCAACATCTTTCATTTGTCATTCGATCGACATCAAAACAGACGTATTCTGTTTGTTTGTTCGTGTGTTTGTTTATTGAATTTCGCGTAAATCTAGTCGAGGGCTATCTGCGCTAATCGTCCCTAATTTTGAAGCGATAGACTAGAGGGAAGGCTGCTATTCAACACTACCCACCGCCAACTCTTGGGCTACTTTTTTAACAACGAATAGTGGGATTGACCATCCCATTATAACGCCCCCACGGCTGAAAGGGCGAGGACGTTTGGAGACAAGATGCACATTCTAACGAACACACATTGACGTATTTCAATCAGTAGGGAAGATATTAAAATAAATCGTTTTAAGATTAGCTACTATTTCTGTAAAATAATATAGGTCTGTATATTTCAAGTACTACTAAACTCAATTGCTAGGTCTCAGCCGAATAATCGCTTAATCTTAAAATTAAAGACCTGTTTTATACTCTTCACCACCGAAGGGGTCCAGTTATCGCCTGATGTTAGGTAATCTTATATTTTTGCCTGCTCCAACACTCAGTATAAAGTAGTGTCCCCCTCTCCCCGAAAGGGTGAAATCCATCACTTTCTATGTAAAATATATAGGAGAATCCCAGATGTAATTAGGGATTCATTAGAAATATTGACGTGTTTTTATTTTCATTATTATTTACATTTTATTAGGGATTCTATAATAAAGAAAGTCAGGTTCATACAAAAAAATTGGTTCGTAATTAGTTTAGAAAGCGGATGGAGTACTGGACTAGGACTAAATAATGCTGATAATCGGCTTTGCAACTAATAAAGGAAGAATAATAAAAACACATTAAAACGCTTATACTCTTTTCTGAGATAGTTAAGAGATTTAGAGAAACCAAACACTTACCTGACGTTTCTTTCTTTTTTTTCTAAATCAAGGAAAAATTACGCTTTACCTGAAAGACCGTGTTTAACTGAACTAGTACTAAGCCAGTCACACAATATAGCGGATATTAGCGATGATTACCGTCGGGAACTTTCCTCTTCGTTACTCAAGTTTCCAACTTACCGATGCTTTAAAGGCCACTTGGATCTATATAGATGATGTGCACGAGATCGTCGTCAACAGGCGGTCTTTGTCTGTGATGGTCCACTTGAAGCTCTCTCTTACGGCCGCTCACAAAGCGTGAACTCTATAGGTCGCTGCTATTGATCTCGATCGCGTGCAAGAAGTAATTTATTCTTGTCCATCACATGTATTGTTGACGTTTCTTTTTTCCCCATTTCGATTCCTATATAATAAACCGTTGGAGACGGCAGCTGTGCTTTGGAGTGGCATTTCTATAATCGATCTTGAAATGTTACAGAAACTTAACTTCCTCAATATTTTATTATATGATAATTCCAGCTGCGTGAAAGTCGATAATATCGTTATACCTCCAGGAAGAGTCGTAAAAGTAATAACCTACCAAGCGAACGTCTCTCATCAGTGAGTATTCATATAAATAGGATTTCAGCCATTTTTGCTTCAATAGACATTATTCATAAGTCCTCTTAAGACTGGTTGTCTTAGAAATTACATAACTTTCGAATACGACAACGTGCTAAAGAAATAACAAATTTAATTAAAATATTATGAAGTTTTCTGAAAACTAATGTACATTTATATCAATAAATTTTGTTAGCCTATAGTGCGTTATTAAGAAAGATTAAAACTTGTAAGTTGTCACTAATCAAGCTCTTAAAAATATGTTTCCATACGTCTGAATGATCAGAGGTTTCACAAAATATTTAAATCAACTTGTTCACGTTATTCTGTCAGGATAATGGTTAGTAACTTTTCAAAGTGATAAGATTATTTTTCCTTACAAAAACAAAAAAAAAAAACCCGCTGTCTCGGCGTTAAGTATACGGAGTTACAACACTAAAATCCAAGGTTCGATTCCCCGCAATTGACAGAATGCTGATAGTCCATTCTGTAGTTTTTACAGTAAAAAAACAACTTGAACTTCTAAATCTTGTCCCCCTGTGACTAAATGGTAAATTTAAAAACTTTACAATGCAAAAATTCGGGGTTCGAGTCCCCCCGTAGTGGACAAAGCCCAAATAGCTTATTGTGTAGCTTTGCGCTTCAAAACAAACAAATCCTTACAGAAACTGTAATCAAAGTCCAGTAGTTTAAAAACTACTATTTAAACTAATATCTATCTACTTATACGTACATAATAACATCACTTTAGCTTTAATAACAAAAGTTTTACAATTTGGGGTTCAGCTCTGTAAGTAAATACAGACATCTCGTAAGTCCCTCCAGCGATTTCGTATGCATGATTAGAGTTTACTCGCAAATTGAGATTAATACCCACTTCAGAGATAAGCAACATTAGTATTAGCATATACAAAACACCAACTGTCTCCTGGCAATAACATGTCCAAGACTATAATCCTGAGGTTGTGTGACATCAGCTCGTAACAATACGAGAATCGTTTTATTACCGAGACTGTAACGGAGAGTGCTAATATCAAAAGAAGAAAAAGAAAAGTCGTACGCAGCTCGATATATATACAGGGTGGCCTCCACCACCCCCCACCCCCCACCCCAAAAAAGTACCCATCCTTTAAATTATGCAACTTCTGTGTGTCGATTCCAAAATTTTTTTTTTCAGGTAATATTGAAGGATATCTAAAAACAAACCCAAAACCATTGAGGAATCAAATCAACAGATTATATATGTTTTCCATCGAATCAGAGTTAAAAATTGTAGATGTAGTCGTAGATGTCATGATTGTTTGAATGCTGGTGGAGCCCAAATTGAGCATCTCAAATGAAGCAGCTTAAAGCAACAGATCACACATGCTTTATATCGAATCAGAGTTGAATATTGTGTTTGTTTATTTGCTAGTTTTGAATTTTGCGC